AGGACACCCAGGATCTGCTACTTGAGACAGCCCCTCATGGTGCTTAATGGTGTGTCTGAATTTGATGAATGGGAACCTCCAAAGTTTATGTCACAATAAATTCGCTAGTCTTTAAGCTGTCACAAGACTGTATGTCTTGTGACAAAAGTGCTGCGTTGTTGCAATTAAAAAATTCAAGTTTGGATTCCTCCATCATTTCTCCCAAAATAAGACTACGCGGGCGTGATTTGGGCAATATATAACCCACCGCTGGCCAAGCAGCAACAGGCACTTGTCCGATAATTGATATTCATGTGTACCCTCAGCTACAAAGCCTCACTTGTGCATTTGTAGCTTGCCAAGATGTGAATGAGAGCTTGAAAAGCTGCCCCAGAGCAGCATCTGCTACAGGAAGGAAGATAAAGGGCGATAAAGAGGCAAGATGCAATCCAGAAACAAACTGTGACCGTGCCAAGAAACATGCTGAGCAGAGACTGCTGACATAGATTCCTAACCATTCCTGTTTTCTGGAAGATGTCCTGGGATTTCATCCCATTTTTACTGTGGATGAAGTAGTGAGGATGATCAAGCGTGTTGCTTATATACCACCCCATAGCATTTAAAGCACTCTCTGGGCAGGTTACAATTCAATTATGCAGGCAACACATTGCCCCCGCCCCCAGCGAACTGGGTACTCAAATTACCAACCTTGGAAGGATGGAAGTTTGAGTTAACTTTGAGCCGGCTGCCTGAGCCCGCGACTGAATGCAGGTTGTGAGCAGAATCTTCACTGCAGTACTGCAGTTTAACCACTGAGCCATGAGAACACTCATGATAAGGTCTATGGAAGAAAGGGGAGAGAAAAGGAGGTGCCAAAATACGAGAAAAGAGAAAGAATGATGGAGGGAGAAGGGTTTCACTCACCCATTTCTGGCTCTAGTCCTATCCACCACTGACTTTTGCTCTGCCCACTGCCTGCCTGTGACAACAGTTCAGCCCAAGCGAATGCACCCCTTAACAGGGAAGAAAAAAAGGTTGCCCACCCTGTTTTAAGAATATTAATGATGGAAAGGTAGAAAGAGCAATAAATAGATGCAAAAAGTGTATTGCCCAATACGCAGCCTGGAAGTGGTTCTCACTATTCATGAGTGACCAAGCTCTGCAGCAGGAGTTGGCAAGTGAGGCCCACAGTTCAGCCCAAGCAAATGCACCCCTTAACAGGGAAGAAAAAAAGGTTGCCCACCCTGTTTTAAGAATATTGATGATGGAAAGGTAGAAAGAGCAATAAATAGATGCAAAAAGTGTATTGCCCAATACGCAGCCTGGAAGTGGTTCTCACTATTCATGAGTGACCAAGCTCTGCAGCAGGAGTTGGCAAGTGAGGCCCTCCCAGATGCTTTCCACTATAACTCCCATGCTCCTCGACCACAAACTAGGCTGGCTGGAGATGATGAAAGCTACAGGCCAAAAACATAGGGGGTGCCGCTGTGGCCCACGGCAGCTCCACAGTCCAGTTGGCACTGCTTGATTTTTAAAACGTCACATCTAAGGAGCAAAACCAATGACTGATGGGCACTGAATAGTCTGAAGGATGAATAGGGGGTGTGTGATTTTACCACACCTTAATTAAAATTTGTGAAGCCTGAAAGTGGCCAGACACATATTGGACTAACTCCATTAGTCATCAGTTAGAAATACAACAGCTTTGAAAACACTATGTCTTAGAAGCACTTGAAACAAAGTTTTGGAAGGATATTGTTACAACACAGTCATATGGCAACGAACCTGTAAGATCAGGTACGGGCAACCTATGGCCCTCCTGCCATTACTTGAACTGCAGCGCTCCCCATCTTTCACCAACAGATGTGACCCCTTAGAGACTTTTATAAATGCACAATAAATCCAGTGATTTGGCTCTGTCTAGGACTCTCCCAAGCTTATTGATCTGATAACACAGCAACAAGGCCTTGCTGCAATACTTCAAAACACTTCTTTTTCCTTTGGGTTCTTCTGTCTTGTGCATCAAGTGAAATAAATGGCTGAACAATTGAAAATAGACCCAGACAGTCAGAGAACAAGCACAGGAAAGAGTTGAGAAATTTGCTATAGATGTCTTCCATTTTCCGAAATCCAAAAAGCTCAATATGAATGCTCAGAATAACCAGCTATGAGTCTTTCAGACACGAAGCACAGTCAGAACAAATGAAATAACAACTTATCTGCCTGCCATTCCGTAACAATAGAGAATGTAATTAATTTATAATTCCTAGACATAGAAGGTAAAAGTACAATTTTATACTATAAGTAAATTGTACCGCAGAGTGATGCCTCCATGACACCATTTCCCCCTGTTAGTACTATGAAATCCATCTTACCGAGCAATGTTGGTCACCACACTCACCCAGCAATCCCTATCAGCACTTATTACTGTTCCTTTCATACACAACTCAATTCAGACACCCCTTCCCCAATCCTGTCCCTACCCCTGGCACTTCCAAGGATGCAACTTCGAAACATTTTCCCAATTCCTAGCTTTAGGGGTGGTGTTCAGAGCGCAGGAACCCTGAGCGCAGCAAAGAGTTTCAGAGAACATTTTTCAAAGTGGAAACAGGCACAAGAAAATAAAACATTCATGGTAGCCAAGCTGAAGGGGGGTGTTGCCTACAGCTACAAAGAAAGAAAGAAACTAGATAAAGCAACTTCCCTCACCCCAGCAATTTTAAGGCAGAAACACTGGAATAGGAGCTAGGTATACCTAAGGACTGGATATGGAACAATTGACTGGTTCAAAATTGGGAAAGGAATACGACAAGGCTGTATATTGTCCCCCGGCTTATTTAACTTAAATGCAGAATACATCATGCGGAAGGCTGGACTGGAGGAATCCCAAAACGGAATTAAGATTGCCGGAAGAAATATCAACAACCTCCGATATGCAGATGA